ATGACGGTACAAATGCGAACCTTGCTGCTCTGTGTTCTTACTGATCTTGGCTCCAGGTGTTGGGCATGCCATAACTTCCATCCTGTACAACTGAGTCATAATTTGCATTTTGACAAGAAGCCCTTCAAAGTGCGGTAGTGAAAGCTCTAGTGGGCCAGCAAGGAGGAAAGTTTGGCTATAAAGGCCTCCACAATTGCAAGAGATGAGAAAGTACAAATTTTGTAGACAAATATAGGGATAGTGTCAGATTAAAGTCTGCTCTAGCCCCTGAAGACAGGCTCATTAATGTCTATGATGTTGAAATAATATTCCTGGAAAATCAGACTACTGATACTGTCTTTTGAGTTTATTTGAATACTAAATTTCCATTTCAGAAATTAAACTTAATAAAAAGAAACAGCTTTGTTCTAAGTAGCTAGGTTGCTGCTTTCTGTATGACTGAAGAGGCTTCATTTGAAAGTAGATTTTAAGAGAAGCCCAACTCATATCTCTGTGGTTTTCTAGGAAACCTTAATAAACATCCATTGCCTCAGGGTAATGCTGCTTTCTCTGCAGCCTCTCAGCCTCTGAGTCTTCTGAATGTTCCCTTCCACTACAGAGTTCTTCAGTACAAATGAGGCAGAGTAGTTACAACCTAAAGTCATCCCCAAATTGGAAGGAATGCGTCACAGCCCTCTCCCATAGGAGTGTGTGTGTGTGTGTTATATGTAGTTCAGAAATAACTGTTTTCTTTTTGACATACCTCATATATCCATTTTATCAAGAAATGGTAATTTTAGTATAGGTTGACTTCAAATTAGGGCCGAGTGAATAGTTCAGAGGAAGAAAAAAGCCTCTTAAGCCATCTTGATTTGATTTACAAAAATCAAATAGAAATCTGTAACAGTCCAACTTCCATTTAAATAATATGAGTATGAGTTATTGGCAGTCTAAAGTCCGAAATATCCTGTGTACTCAAAGACATGTGTACTAAAAACTATGTATACGTATACCATGATGTCATTGGGCTTTAGTAACAATTCTTCTAGGACAACTATATTTTTAGAACTTTAGTCTGGAAATTTAAAATAATTTTACATTGTTGGTCTTCATCTAAACACTTAGGCATAATTAAATTTGATAAATGATCATGTTAAAATTATTATTAATATTTATTGAATATGGATTCAAAATTAAATTTATTTACATGATTTTCTTCTTTAGTCCTTATAAATATATTTATACATACATGTATTATAAATGATAAATTATAGATTCTGTTAACTTTCTTCTCTTGTTTTCAATGTGTTAAGCAGCAAAAATAGTTGTTGCTTTTTTAAAATATTCTTTTTTTGAGATTATAATATAATTAGATCATTTCACGCTCCATTTCCCTCTCTCTAAGTGCTCCCTCTCTCTAAGTGCTCCCTATCTCTAAGTGCTCCCTCTCTCTAAGTGCTCCCACATGCTCCTCCTTGCTTCTTTTCAAATTCACTGCCTCTGTTTTTATTAATTGTTGTTATATTATATCTGTACATATATGTTCATGAATGAATACATTTTAGTCCTTAAGACATCTTTCTGAGTTACCTTGTATTTTATCTGACACATTTTATGTTAAGGAATGTTAGCCAAACAGGTTTGAACATGCTTCAAATTTCGTCCCACTTTCTGTGTAACAGATATAAACACTGTTTTGGAGAACACAAATTTGTGAGTTTAGAAGCAGTTGTATATCTTCTCCAAAAAGTTCCAGTTTCTATGGAAAACCTCACAGGCCAGAGTACATAGTCAAGTGCAAAGCAAGAAGAAACTGGCCTTCAGTAGAGTCTCTAGGCCTTTTCCATGGTCTCATCTGGGTGGTCCCTGGGAGTGGGTGGAGGGGGTGAGGCTTTCCTTTATTTCTGGACTTGGGCCACCATCACCTGAGGGTCTGTACTCTCTTGTTCTCAAGCTTGGGCCAAGAAATCTCATAGCTGCTGATCCCTCTGTGTGGTCTCTCCACAGTGTCCTTCCTGCCAATTTTCCCCTGTGGTTGGCTGCATAATGTGTTGGCTCAAGTTAGGCAAGATGTATCTGAAAAGAGGACCAAATAGAAGCTCTGTTTCATAACCTAGTCCCCGAATTTTCCAAGCCTCACAGCATTTGTTAGTAGTAAGTCACTGCAGCTCTGATTGAAATGGAGAGACAAGAAATCTGCAACACCTTGTGTAAGATGAATATTTTAAAATCAACACAATAATCCCTAGGTATTTTAATTTTTAGCCATATAATTTCTATTTGTGGTTTTCCTCTTGTTTCTGGATGTTCCTTAGTGTGAGGTTGGCCTACTGGAAACCCTATGGATTTGTGTGATTTTTCAATGTTACTTAAAGCACTGTAGAAAAGGCTGCAATCTTGTGTCTCAAGATGGGCAACAAACCTTTTTTTATTGTTCCTTAAGGATGCTTTACTTTCCAGGTGATTGCCTAGAAACCTGATTATTTTCCAATTTTCTGGATGCAAAAGGAATACAGCATTTTGCTCATCCTCTGGGATTTCATTCAAATTCAGATTTCTTGTGTAAATTTTTGTTGAAGAGATAACAGTCACTGGAGTGATATTTTGTATAATAAATTAAAATGTATAATTTAACTTAAACAAATAATGAAATTAATAGCATGCTTACATCAGCAAATAAAGTTCTTACCTGATTAATATTTATTGACAGCCTATACTTATGGGGGTCTATGGTAATTTGGAATATTTGACATTAATTGAAAATAAAAATAAAGTTTTTAGTTATAATCAAATATTATGTACCACTCTTTAATTTTTAGTTGAATGTAGAGATGTTTTAGTACTTTATTAAATAATAAAGGTATGCTATAACAAAAGTATAGTAACTTGATGTAAACTTTTACTTTTTTATAGTAAAAATATATTCCATATTTTATATTCACAACTATATAGAGGTAAATAACTTCAGAAAAATGATATAGAAAAATGAGACTAATAAAAATAAGTCTAGAATTATTAACCTTGGGAAGAAGAAAAACAATGAGATAGTATTCCTTTTAAGCCAAGAAAAATACATCATAAAGGCTAGAAAGGGAAGAAATACTCATTATGACAAATTATGAGCAAGAAAGAATTCCATACCTATATGTGTTTGTAAATGTACATGCATGTGTATATCTGAGGGTGTGTGCATGCATGTACATGTGGATGTGAACCTGTGTGTGCATGCCAGCACACGTGCGTGTGAGTGCATGTGTGTTTGTGTGTGTGTGTGCGTGCACATGCAGGAAGGTTGAGTCTCCTTCATGAGATCTTTCAGCTTGTGGTTATGTTACGGTTCTTTTGGTTTCTAAAATCAAGGAGAGAAAGCATGTCTTCTGGACCCCACTTTTACCTTTCTTTAGTTCTCCACCACTCAGCCCTACACTATCTGGAAAGTCAATATCCGCATCTGTGCTTTTCACTTGCTTTCTAACCTTTACGGCCAAATTTCTCCATCATTGACCTTGAATTGCTCTTACTCATCCATTATTGCTCAGCTAGCCTCCTGTCTTGCTGTCTCCGCATCATTGCCCATCTACCCCCGAAATCTCTTTGCCCTCACTGTAGTTTAATTTGCCACTAGCCTTTATGATGTATTTTTCTTGGCTTAAAAGAAATACTATCTCATTGTTTTTCTTCTTTCCAAGGTTAATAATTCTAGGCTTATTTTTATTACCGTCATTGTTCTATATCATTTTTCTGAAGTTATTTATCTCTACATAGTTAACCAAAAATTTAAATCATCAGAATGTATTTTTTTCTTTAGAACAGCTTTAGCATGTTCTTACATGTATTGGAATGCATGTCACTGTCCTCTCAGTATGCACACTGCAACCTTCTAAAATTCCACCAAACAAATACGCAAACATATACTTGTTATTTCCATTATCCCTTTGTGGCAACTGTATTAGTCCATCATTTTTTCTCTTTGACAGCTTAAATTAAGTCAGCTATCTACCCATAAGTATTTACATATCTATGTGTTACTTTGTCCTGTCTGCTCTTCTACAGATTCATCCCTTAAGTTGTTCAAATGTTCTAACCCTGGGACTGTTTCTCTGTCCTCTTATCACGTGGAGTCCTGTTCTGAAAGTGCCAATGTACTCGTTTATATATAGTTTTGTCATTATAATAATATGTTTCATGCACAGCCCATGTTTTGAATCAGTAAAAACTTGAATACTAAATGTGTAACTTGTAAAATTTCGTTGTTATCAATTTGCATTTTGATTTTTGTAACTTAGTTTTAAATGAGCCAGTCATCATCACTGAATTTTGTAAATAAGAATAGTGTATATTTTATTGTAGTCAAAATCAATATTTTTTTCATATATCCAACATGTTCTTATTCGTTACTGTATCTATATAATGAGCACAGGAAATAGGCCAAAGGTACAAACAAGAGTAAAACAACTACCTCCAGGCAACCCGTACTCTTGGGAGAGGTAGATATGGACATAAACATTGCCATGCTTGGTAATAGTGCTGAACAAAGAATGTAACAAAGTTCTGAGAGCATTATGGAAGGTGGAGCTTACTTTGGGGGGAGTTGAAAAGGTAACATACACACCATGTTAGATAATGTAGGATAGAAATCCAAGGATAGATTCCTGGTTGGCAAATCACCAAAGGATGCTTAGACCAGGATCAAGTCCTGAAGGTATTACAGGTTCTACAAGGAAACCTTGCTCTAGTTTCCTGTGGGATTTTGTTGGCTACATTAAGGAAGAAGAGTCAGGTAATTTCATTTCTTATCACTCTGGCAATTCTAAAAGAAATTTAGGCACACTAGAAGAGAAACAGGTGTAGTCAGGGAAATTAAGGAGAAATCTGGTGGAGAAAAAAAAAAATCTAGGTGATAGATGAAGGAAAACCAGACCAATGTATTCACTTAAGAAAGAAGAGAGAAAACAAGATATTTGAAGAAATGTCTAATGTGAACGTTGTATGTCTTTGCTTTATTTCTGTTTACCCTGTAGACATGGGATGTGGAGCTGGAAAGATCTGCAGAATCCTGGGCTGAAATGTGTGTGTGGGAGCATGGACCCGAGAACCTGCTGCCCTCCATTGGACAGAATTTGGGAGCACACTGGGGAAGGTAGTGGAAAGCACAGCTTTTTATTTTTGGAAACACAAATGTCGTGAATGAAACATTGATTAACCTATCACTGGCAGTTTCCTAATGCTTGTTGCCTAGGATTAAAAACTCAGACCACAAAGCAAAGAAACTCAAATATCCTATCAGAAGGGTCATCGATCTCCTAGCTTCTTTTTGTATCCTTTGTATACTTAAGACTTGTAGCTTACACAGAAGGAGCTTTCTGTAAAGCTTTGTCAATCTACGTTAGTTTTATGTTTTCTCCCACTCTTCTTGTTACTTTTGGTTTTTTTCTTTCTAACAGATACAGACCCCCAACCTTTCATGTGCAAGCATGGTATGACGAAGTGAGAGACTTTAGCTACCCATATGAACATGAGTGCAATCCTTACTGTCCTTTCAGATGCTCTGGCCCTGTTTGTACGCACTACACTCAGGTATGCTTTGTATGAGCTACAGTTGGTTCCCTCAAATTAAGCTACTGTAACTACCAAGAACATATAAGCATGTGTATCTTTCTTTTTTACTTAATGTGATTATTTAAGAATATGTGTAGCATTGTTAATCCCTTGGAATAGGCGAAAAGATTTCTATAAGCAATACCACTATCAGAGAAGCCCAAACACTTCCCTTAAAAGGTTATTTTAATGATTTCACACATAAAATCCTTTACTATGGCCCCAGTAAATATTGTTAAGGAACAATTTGCCATCTTTGAAATAACTTGATGCCAAAAATATAATTTATGTTTGATTTCCACTATTTACATATGTGCAGAATTTATGATATGTATGGATATATTTTATATTTCACATTCATCTTTAGAATTGCATGTATTCCTAATCTCTAAGTCAAACAAAGGAAGACAGGCTTGAGTAGACAAAGGTCACTGTTGCCCTGTTTCTAGAATGGAGGAGCTTCTGAGCATTGCATGTTTTCTTCTTATACAGATTTCTGTTACTTTAGTTAGTAAGATTTTTTATAGAAATGGGATAGCATAAGATGGAGATGTAACTTTGAATTATTTAGTAGGTTTGTATTTTGAAAATGCTGACATTATACTGCAGTGAGAACTCTTTGCTTGTAAGTGTCTTTTATAAATTGCATTAAAAGCACAAACCAAGTCACAGACAAGACAGATGTTGGGCACATCTCACTCTAGCATAAATGATTTGCCTGGGCATCTGTAGTTTGTTTTATATCCATTTCCTTTGATAGACTACAGTCTCATTTCATCATGGCTCTCCCTGACACTGTCTTTTCTCTAACACAGCTGGTGTGGGCTACTAGTAGCAGAATAGGCTGTGCCATCAATCTGTGCCACAACATGAACATCTGGGGGCAGATATGGCCCAAGGCTGTCTACTTGGTGTGCAATTACTCTCCCAAGTAAGTAGCCAGGGCATGTGTTTCTAATAGAGAGTTTTCTTAATGTGAAAGTAATTTTGTAATCCTGATTTTTCTAATTTTCAAGGTATATTCATAAAGCATGTTGGTTTAATTCAGTTTTCTTCCATGGCAGTGATTATAGTTGCTGAAAAGCATATGTCAATGCATAAAAGGAATGGACTAAATCTGTCCTGGGGGAGGGGGGGAGGGGGAAAAAGGATAACATCTGAAATGTAAATAAGTAAAATATCGAATTAAAAAAGGAATGGACTATTACAATCTAATGAAATATACACGTTGTTTTGCGTTTTAAGCTTCATTTGCTGTGCCATTTATGTATCCATATTTACTAATTTTGATGAGAGGTTTTCAGCTACACATAGTTGAGAAATATGTTTTACATATGTAAAGAAGACATGAAAGATTATATTAAAAATCTCACACAACTATTCTGAGAATCAGATTTAATTATTAGGAAGCATGAGATAGGTAATTGTTCTTCTGAATTCAGTTTTAGGTAAATGTTTGATTTTTAAATTTTTAATAATATTTATGTCAAGTTACTTTGAAAATTTCAATATAAGGAGGCATTTAACTATATGTAAGTCTAGACCAAAAAGATATACAAGATATATACACACCAAATATATACAGAAATCTTGATCTTAAGGTGCTTGCTTCATTACTCTGGAAATGTTTATGTAGTGATATTTGCAATGTCTTAGTACTGCTTTAAGACAGTATCTTAATGGAATGGATCATCTCTTTAGGGGAAACTGGTGGGGCCACGCACCTTACAAACATGGAAGGCCTTGTTCTGCTTGCCCACCTAGTTTTGGAGGAGGCTGTAGAGAAAACTTGTGCTACAAAGGTCAGTGTTGCATGGCTATAGTTTTCACTTTGAAACCTTTGTTTGTCAGCTCTGTAGCACTGTGCATGTTCTTGCAGGGTGCAGCAAAAGGTTAGGATTTGCCAAATGTCTATGAGGCTTCCAGTGGCATCCCCAGTGGCAAGAAATTAAAAAGGAGTCTAAACCCACATCAGTTTCCAGATGAACTTTGAAGATGTGTTTTTAATTATGAATAATTATTTCAACTTATTTTTTTTAAAATTCATATAAGGAATCCATTATGACAGGGGTCATGTACCTACAGAACAGTAGCAAGTTTTAAACAGCTGCTTCTAACACTTATTCCTACATCAGAAAGACAGCTTCTTAATGTGTTGTTGGGAGTTATCTTCTTAACTGTCATGTTTAAAGATTTAGCTCTTTAAGTTAATTAATTTTTAATGCTTTGAAAGTTTGAACAAAAGTATGTCTCTGTATATTGTACTGACACATAGTGAGTCAGATCTCTCTCTCTCTCCTCTCTCTCTCTCTCTCTCTCTCTCTCTCTCTCTCCCTCCCTCCCTCCATTCCTCCCCCCCCCCTCCCCCTCTCCCTCCCCCTCTCCCTCTCTCCAACCCTCTCTCTCAATCTCTCATCATAGACTATGTTTCTTACACGGAAACAAGTTTAAGAGTGTGATTATATTGTAGAACTTATAAAATTGGTGCTCTCAAATAGATTTGAAGTCTTGACATGAAAATATGGGGCTCAGGTAGTAGAATCCTTGTTTAACATGAATGAAGTCCTGGACTGAGTCACTAGCAGCAGGAGGAGTCAGATTCACCTTTAATCTCAACACTACTAAAGTGGAGGCAGGAGAATCAGGAGTACAAACATGCTCAGCTGTATTGTAAGTTCAAGGCCAGCCAGAAATACCTGAAATCCTGTCTCAGAAGCATGTAACACAAATATAACGCCCTGTTAATGATGACTGAAGATATCATTTGTCTAACAAGGATTTGGGGAAAGCCATGATCTTGGGCATCCATGTGACCATGTTTTACCTTATACTTTCTATTTTGGTGACAAAATGAAGGTTGATGTAGATCAGGTGTGCTAAAAAGGCTGGAACCATGTTCTCTCCCTTCACAGTGCTGATTGAGACCCATGTGTTGTTTGCGTTTGTGTCTGACTGTTCCTGGGAGGTAATAAGCAGACCAGAAGCGTCCATTCACGTCCCTATCATGATTCCCTATTTGGTTCCCTTGCCCACTTTGAAGCATACACTCCTGTGATGGTCTTTGTACATACACCGTCAAAGCTGCACCTTCTCTGCCCTTCACCGGTACCTGGTGCATCCTTCTTAAAACCAACACTCTTCTTTATCCACACCTTTCTTCTAGGTTCTGAGTTTAGGAATACAAGTGAAAATAAACACCTTTTTACAGGAGGACAGCAATAAGCTTTTCTTATAGGCCAACCCAGAATGGGAGAGTTCAGTGCCAAGCTTGAAACTATTCTCTATTTAGAATGAAAATCTTTGCACCTTGAAGTTTATTTTAAAAGTCAGAAAGTCTATAGGAATTAATGCTGGAACAGATAACAAGGGCATACCACCCTTTAGGGGATGTTTTCATTTAGAGGAGGGGAGAGATACAGATTTCCTAAGCCCTAGTGCTATTAGAGAACAGGGTCAGTTTCATATGTCTTTAGGAAAACCAAACACTGATGCCATACTAGAACTAGATTAGGGATGAGTCCTCTGGACATCACACACACACACACACACACACACACACACACACACACACACACACAGATTGAAGGCTGATATGTGTATTTCACTTTAGTGTGGTACATACAATCATGACCTTGTGCCACAACCTGTGCCGAAAAGAGTACTGAATGTGTAATTTTTAATTAACAGGTGTAGAAAAACATTGGTCAATAATTTGTCCTCATGTAAGTAAAGTCCACATTTTTTAATCTTTTCCCTCTGGCAGAAGGGTCAGACAGGTATTACACTCCTCCAGAAGAAGAAACAAATGAAATTGAACGGCAGCAGTCTCAAGTCCATGATTCCCATGTTCGGACAAGATCAGACGATAGTAACAGAAATGAAGTCATCAGCACTCAGCAGATGTGTAAGAGCTTAATCACATATCAGATGCTTACACTTTGCAAGGATGATAACTGTCCTAGTTTTATTTTCACATTTTCAAACTATCAAAAACATGTTTTAGTTGAGCAGCACAGACCTCTTTTAATCCTAACCCTCAGGAGGCAGAGGTGGGTGGAACTCTGAGTTCGAGGTCAGCCTGGTTTACAGAGTGAGATCTGGGAAAGTCAAGGCTACAAAGAGAAACTCTTGTGAAAGAAAGAAAGAAAGAAAAGTTGTCATCCTTGCAAAGT